AAAAATTCAAAAATAAATAATATACAGTGTAGGATGGCTGGCGCGACGAATTTTCGGTGTACCTATATATGTATATATTCCATCCCGATTTACTTCGCCCTTTCATGTGCCATCAGTCTTCTACACCATGCACGTCACACGTTCCAATACCAGTTTAATCGTTTCACGTCTGTTATACCACAAACAGTTGTACGAGTATATCGTTATAATATTGATCGATCGTAAAACAATGTTTGTCGCCTGAGGTAAACGTCACGCGAGTTTCTCACTGTTTAAATATAATAATTGTCATTACATAGGTAATATTATTGCATTACTCAATATCAGGATTGCGTGGGTATAGGTACATACGCACAGCTGATAGACAGTGTGTCTAAGGCATCGATTCTCCTTCGTCCCGGAACTTAATCAATTTATAATAATTTGTATATTTTATCGGTCCTACTCGTCGAAAATTTTTTGTCAGTTATAAAGTTCAGCTGTAGTTTCAAACCAGTCTCCTGAGAAATAATATGATATAATAATAATGATATTTCAATCGCGTCGGTCGGTTATATATTTTATCTTAAAAGTGCTTCTTCAAGTATAATAATATGTTCTTTCGTTGTAATTATCATAAGGTTGTATAATACTTATTAATACCTACGTACAGGAGTTTATAAAAGCGCTTTCGGTTGTCATCCGCTCTGCATAGACACATCACATAATAATACCGATAATTTCGCTCTGACGTCCTATTGATTTCTCGGCACGACCGTGACGAATATTATATATTTTTATATATATAATTATAACACAGGACATTGGATCAAACGTTTTCGTTGCGTTCAAGACGAAGTCATTGCCTACTTGACCGAATAATGTGACTGTGTGAGACATTATATTGATTGACGTTGCGACGTGTATTACTTATATAATTATGGGCATAATTTATACACGCACATTAATTATTATTGTTTTCGAACGAAAGTTTTTGTAGAGTTTGTACACAGCGTTAATTTTTTTTCCATCTTTTTATACTCGACAACTGATGAGATGTCTCTATTTGCCCTTCTAAGTAATAAATCAATAACGAAGAGAGAACAAACGGAAAATTTGAACGGGCTTTGGCTTTTTTCATTGTCTTATAATATGCAGTGCGAACCGGTAAGCTGCTTCAGCCTGATGTCGATTCTATACTTAACGAATCAAGAGTGGAGAACTTAAGGCGAGTATATGCTTATGTCATATTAAATTCTTTGGATAGAAATTCTGTGCAATGGTAGGTACGCGCACTCGAAAGTCTGGTCTTGTAAATTATAAAACGTGCTTTTTATTTGCAAATATAAAATGTTCTTTTCTATAATCTTTAGTGGTCCTCATCGTAGAGAATTTAATTGGCCTTTTAAAAGAAACGTTCCCTCGTCATTATAATCTAATTTAAAACCTTTCAAAAGTCTGGTGAACGAAAACACATTCAGACCGACTTTAATACTTCTATACTATGTAGTTCACACAGTTTTCACTGGTAATGTCATTTTTGCCGGGTGGCTGGTAAACATCCGAGCCGTCGGTTGCTTCTTCCACGTCAAATATTACGTTTCAGCCATTTTTGTTTTTATTTGAAAATTCGAAACGTTTACGGTTCGACGTCATACAACTATATACAAGTACCCTAATGGTCGTGGTGCAGGAAATTAACTTCGCTATGAAAAACAAAAATGCACAAATACAGTAAACAAAAACTGTTGATTCGAGCACTTTTCATTAGCATTGGTATATTTATTATTTTCAGCTATTATGTGAAAGCAAAAATGATGATATATTTTGACTTTTCGATTTTCCAAATAACAACAAGGCTCTTTTGGCGCAATATAGTTGTCTATGGAGTATGGATTATCTTTCACTTGGGTATTCGGGCGACGATGCATTAATATTTGCAAATCGTTGGCGTACACAAATATAGCCACATAAATATTTATGTTTAGACATTTCAAGACATTATAGCTATAGGAACAATTTCGGTCAGACGATAGTTATTATAGAGCAGTGCTGTGTTGTTGTTGTTGTTTTTGATGAACATCTCGACATTTCAACTACAATAAGCACATTGTAAATAATGACTCTTACCATGATTTTTGATTTTGAGTAAATGTTCTCAACTGACGCGAAGTCGTGAACGTTTTGATTTAATTACAGTTGTTTCCATAAAACATTTTAGGGGGTTTTAATATTGTATTTTTAAATATAACATAATATAAATATTATACTTAAAAATAGTGTGTGAGTGCATAAAAAACATCGAATTTTTGATAACATAGAATTTCGCACTTTTCTAGGTACCTATCTATAGAGATTCCGTATTCATGCGTTTTTAATAATTATTATTATTTATTGCAGAGTGTAGACGGCTGTGAATAATTTCATATTCAAAATAAATTTGTTAAATTACATTATTATATATTTTATTTGTGCAGATAGTCAGAGTAGCATTTTATTTAACTATTACAGAAGGCATTGCATAATTTAAATTTATAGCTTTTTGTTTAATTTAATGAAACCAGAATGCCCGGCGTATTGTATAGGCAAATCTGGTACTCTGGTGATTTTTTCAACCATTATCAACGTAATGTTGTCTACTGTAATGATGATTGGTAAAATATTTAATACTGGTTTCCATTCAACTGGTTTTGATGTATGTATATTGTGTATATTATTACGCAATTTGAAAGAATAGATTAATACAAAACACAAATTGTATACAACGACATAACGTCATACCTACGATTGTGCTACATAAGGTTTTTTTAAATCTGTATAGATAAAGCAAGAAACGAGTACTTATAATATAAGTTTTACAGCGATGTTTTTTTTATCGTTTAATCGTATTGAGAGACTAGTCAAATATACTAAAACGACTTAGTTGCATGTGTCATAAAATCAATATATCATAATATTATTATTATGTAATTCAAATATGTCACTCCTCAATACCTAGTTGTTTACAGTATTTTCAATTTTGACAGTTCCAAGATTAGTCTACATCGTTTTCAATAAAAAAAAGAATTACTGTTTAGTTTATACAAGTTATTGTACACATGGATTTTTCAATTTTCGTAAGAAAAGAAATATCGAACATTTAAATGTTCAAGATTAAATTTAAATTTTGATATTTCTGTATACACCATAGACTTTTTATAGAGAAAATAGTGATTAATAAAATTCGTAGATTCTTGTCTTGACGCTAGAAATGTATTTACATCGAAAGGAAAGTAGGTATAATAAATACAAGATATTGTATACACAATTTATGATTTCTTGAAGCAAGTAAATGTTATTTCTAATGATTTGATTGTTGTTGAAATTAACTAATATTGAATATATCCACTAAAGGTAAATAAGAGTTTATTATTTTACATCAGTTGTCAGTACCTACTTATGGTTCTTGCATGTAATTTATATAATTTTATTTTGTTTTTGAAAAATTATATTATTGAAAACGAGAAAGATATCCATCTCCTAAGCATTACATGGTAGTTATTAATTATACAAATTGATTGTACATTCATAAACTGTTTTAAGCTTTAAAAATAAGAATTAATGAAAAATGTATTGATATTCTAAGTAGAATAAAATTAACGCATATCTGTAAAGAATTTTGTTATGTTCAAAACATGCAAACATTTACATTCATTAGTATACTACGAGACAATTAATTCAGAAATTAGTTATTCGTTTGACATTTAAATATTTTTAAATTCAAGTTATAATAATTATATTTATTTGACAGTCGATGACACTTTACTTCCTACATAACGGTTTTTGATTCGAAAAAAATATACTTGAAAATGTATTTAATAAATTAATCGTATTTATCAAACTATATAATTAACGATGACGTTCGAATACAAATTTTAAATTGAAATCATCCAATTAAAGTGCCAAGGGTTTTCTTTTTTGAAAAATAGAGAGTTAAAAATAGAATTGATATTTAAATAATTATAATAATTATATAATAACTTTACTCTAAGTGGATGTACCTATAGGCTATAACTATATTATAATGTATAAATGTATAATATAATGTAGTCATTTTATTAACAATGAGTATTATTGTATAGGAATTATTATATTGTGCGTTTTAAATAATTAATATTAATACTCGAATTTACTAATTTGTCAACTGACCATGAACTACCACTGTACTCATAAAAAAAAAAAAAAAAATAAATGTTTAGACAATAATGTACAGAAAATAAAATAATCGTTATTCAATACTGAAATTGGAGCTAGAACTCCAACAAAAGTGCGAACATTATTCGGACAGACTTTTCTGAGTGTATATACTATATATACACCGTGATAATTATTATTATTATTGTTGTGTTGTATGTCACGACAATAACTGACATCAGCAATAAAGCTAATAATGGGACAGACACACACCCACACACACGCACACACACTACAAAAGCGGCGCGATACCGGATAACGTGTGTTTCGATTTGAGGGCACCATTTTTACTGTTTAAACAATAGTTTTTCCCCCTACACAAAGGTAATCTAATACTTTCGTCTTGTTTCGTATATTATTATTTTATTCCTTTTTAATATTACTTGTGGCTTTTGCAAAGTCGAAAGCCTAAAACCCCATCACGTCAACGACAGAGCAAATAACATATGGAAGATCCACAGCACACCGCGGTGCAGAGTGGAAATCTGATATAGTTTGAACAAATTACGGAGTCGTACGACTTTTACGATATAATTTGGAGAAGAACTACGAATCATCACTCTGTCACTCGTTTGTAATCGATACCCAACTATAAACCACGTCATAGTCGTTACGAGGAGATATATAGTATAATATTATTTCGTCAGAAATTAAATTTGTAATAGGTATCTTTGAAACAACAACAATTATAATAATATGTAATGTAACAAAATTAAGGTAAATTCACTTTGGAGTTTAATCGTGTATAGGGTTACCACGGACTTTGTTGTATTTTTTCGTTTACTAACCATTACTGCGGAGCACCACGTAGCCATTGTGTGAATCCTTTGACTGATGTCTGCTCGTACACTTAGCGTCTAAACGAGTTTTTACGAAAAAAAAAAAAAATTATAAATGTACAGTATTTTATGTTAGGTTTTTTTTCAGCCACGACTTTTCGAAACGGTATATCGAACGGCTGGTATCAATTATAAAAGTTACGATTCGCGTTTTATTCAGAAACTGTAACACGACACATCGCTCGGTGGGCGATTGAATATCACTTGGTCCACGATCCGCTTTCACAGCACTTTTTATATAATTGCTCCTTCCATTATTTCCACCACCGCGTTTTCTCGTACAAACGGTGGTGGTTATTTTTCGTTACTTTTTTTTCGTCGTCAATTATGAGTTATGACCTGGAAAGATGAACCTGGCCGATACGCGACGTGTATTATAGTTTTTTTACATTGTTTTCTTCACTGAAACACACATATGCATAGGTACGTTATATTATTATTATTGTTATGTATACGGTTATGGTCGTCGAAACCACTCGTCACCGTGTATTTAGGTGCCAAAATATGTTATACCGGGCAAGAGGTCAATTTTCACTCTCGTTTTCATCCCGTTGCCAATTATTTGCTTATAATCGTTTTCGATTAAATGCAAAATTTCCATTTCCGATCACGGAATTGTTTTTTTTTTTTTTATTATAATTAAACTGCAGTTGCAGGTACGCGAATGCATATTATTATTATTATTATACTAGCAAAACTGAAAAATACTACAATGTTGACAGTTACTTATTTTTTATTTAATTATACTATATGCCTACTAAAAATTGTTGATAATTGCGAGCAAATATATTATATATTATATTATATATATTATACTGATTAATTTAAATTTTAAGCTTATATGATATTTATGTATATATATCATACACTTCTCTAATTATATTTTATACAATACCTACCTAGTATAATTAAACATTTTTTTTTTAGAAAAATAATATTATTAAATAATAATTAGGTATGGTTATTAAATTAAATTCCATTTTACTGGCTGGAAGCAAATTATTATTAATTTTAAAATGTAAAAAAAAATGTACTAAATTAATATTGAATTTTAAATTTTAGCTATAAAATGTAACTCATTTATAAAGTTACTAAATATTTTGAATAATTTATCTCACATTTATTTACATGATTGAGATTGAGATATTCCACCATTGAAATTTTCAATACACAAACATTATATTTCAAAAATAATTTCAAAACATTTTAAGTTATATTTAAGTAGTTCATAAAAAAATATAATATGAACTTATTCTGAGTTAAACTGATAATAACTAATACAATATGATAAGGAAAAGACATTTTTTTTAAGGTCTTTACAAAAATATTTGTGGTTTATTAGAATATAATAAATATATATATATATTTAAGAATATAATGTATTAGTGATGTAAAATAAATAAATATAAATACTTTAATTTGTATACAATGCATTAGAACATTACAGTGGTTATAATCAAATGTCATAAATGAATGATAAACAATTTTTTCATGCATCTAAACATACTTTTTTGGAAAGGACAAACTTAATTATTTCAAATATTATATTATATTGAACGAAAAATTTTAATTTTAATTTTACAATGTAACAAAAACATAGGTACATATATAATTTTATAATTTAAGTGGCCTATTTACAATCAGCCAGACTGTAACGAATTTTTAGAGGTTTTTCACGTACGATAACTATTGTTCATAAAAATTGGCTTATTATGTATTTCTATTGTGTTGATCAGAGGCATTTCAATCTGGCGCCTATTTTAAACTGAGGATTGTATTTACTATATAATATAATTACACATACATACATCATAATTGTAAATAAGCCTGACTTGCTTAAATGATAATATTTAAAGTTAACCTACTTTGATCTTGAAAATGTTTAGATGAAAAATAGTTTAATAAATATAACTTGGTACATAATTTTTTTCAAATGAGTTTTGTATCAGAATAAATAAAATAATTTACATAATATGGGGAATTCGATGATTAAATCACTTTAATTTTGGCATCTATAAGTTATATTATTCAACACCTGTGTTGAAGTTGTTGGATTCAAGATGTGGTGTTTCGATTGAAGTGACGGCAGGTGTTTCAATTTTGACATCAGGGTTTTCCATTTTGGGGACAGGTTTCTCAATGTTGGCGATTGGTATTTCGATTTTAGTGATCGGTGTTTTAGTTTCAGTAACTGCAGAAATTTCGATATTATTAGCTGGAGTTAGGGTTTCAGCTCGTTCAGATACTGGTTTACCCAGCTTACTATCGCTACTGTAGTGACCTACGTTTCTGCGTTCCTTCAACGTGTATTCGGAACTATCTCCTTCTGGTTGATCGTAATTGGTATTGGGGTTGACATCTTCACCGAATTGAATATCTCCCCTCAACGGATAACGGGAACCTTCAACATTGGATTCACTTTGCGGGTCCCAAGAGCTGGTCCAAATTGTATCCTGGTTGTGTTTGATCTACTTTCGGTAGTTCATTGGCATCAACGGTATACACAACGATCGGTTGCATGGTTGACGAAGAGTCAACACCATCGGAGCTAGGAAATATAATTTCTGGCTGTGATTCAGTGTTGGCTGTCGGAGAGTTATAATAATAAGATATAGGATTTTCATTAGTAGGTTTTGGATTGTCATAAGTATAATGAATCCACTGTTGATCTTGATTTGGTTTAATCGGATTCACTCGTTGGGTTGCGTCGATCTTGATATAGTTTATCACTTTGGTCAAACCATTGTTATTTTTTTGGTTTTGGTATTCGGGTGTGTTATAGGGTGTGTTATAGAGGGTAAATTGATTTGCGTTCAATGTATTGGTGAATTTAGGGCTCTGTGCGTAATAATTGTTCTGGCGGTAACAAATTTGATGGGATAGAGGTGGTGGACAGTTATTAAGCCATGGTGTATAATATAAGTCTGGGTAGTAGATTTGTTGTGGTTGTAAAGGCATTTGATTTTGAGTGGGAATAGTAACGATTGGTTCTTGAGATTCGATACCATAATTTACTTGTACGTCGGGTATATTATAACTTTCAGGTTTTACAGTAGTATCGTACTGTGCTGAAATGGCAGGATGTGTGGAAGTGAATGGTTGCACAGTTGTGGTGTATTGATGTCCTGTGGTAACAGGTTGTACCGTAGAGATGTGATGTACAGTAGTGGGTTTTCCGGTAGTTATGGGTTCCAATGTGGTGATTGGTTTTACGGAAGTAAATCCAACATTATTGTTGTTTTCTTCAACCGATTCTGAAATTGGTATATTTAGACGATTCTTAAATTTTAACTTCGATTTGATGATGTTGATTTTATTAATGATTTTATCTTTGATTGAAGGCGTACCAACATTTATTTCTGGTAGTTTTTCACTTGTATTCTCACCCAATAACCATTGTGTGTTTAAATCTTTTTCGTATACATTTTTGTGTTCTTCTTCTGGACTAAATTTAGGATTTTCCTCAAAATGTCCTTCGGGGTTTACTTCCAGATTTAGTTCGGGATTTATTTCAGCATTTTCTTCACAGTTCACTTCGGGACTTATTTCTGGACTAACAATGAGGTCTTCATTATGATTTTCTTTTTGAATTTGTCCAACGTTTCCAACTTCTATCAAAATAGGTTTTTCATTTACTAAAAACACTTGGCGGTTCCACTCAATAACTGAATCATCAATGGCACCGTCTTCAACAGATTCACATTTATATGCGGGGTATATTTCTTCTTCCGAAAGTGGCTGTTCAGTAGTTGATGGCAAATGTTTTGATATTAAAGACTTTAAAAATGTTAAAGGTTTTATACTTGGAGCACTCTGTGTTTCATATAAAATGAACGTCAGAAGTATTAGTAATCGCATTGAATTCATCCTGAAATAGAACAAACTAGTTTTAAAAATAAATTTAAAAAAAAAAACAATTTTATTATAATTTCTATTATAATAGATAATATATCAATAGTAAGTATCTAAAATCTACTATTGATAAAAATATATAAGATATTTATACAAATATTAAATACGTTTCGTTTTAAAATATTTATTTAATAAGTACATACATAATTATATAATATTTATTTTATTTTTTATTATTTTTTTAAAACATTTAATTAACTTATTATAATACTATTTTTGAGATTTTTATTTTCCAAATATTTTATTGTATAATCAGATAATTTAACTTAGTTTATGTAGAGACCATTCTGTTATCCTCTGTAGGTATATAAAAAATAAGATTGACATCGTGAATCTACGAGTGTTAACTATATATAATAATCTAGAAACTATAGTTTGTAGTGTGACCAGGTCCGCATTTAGGGGATACTGGGTAAAACTGCCCCGGGAGCCAGTATTTTAGGGGCTTCAACATTTTGTGGTCAGAAATTTGTTTACTTGTGAATTATTAAAATTTTATAATTTTAATTATTTTAATAACAGTATTCTATAATATAATTTAGTATAATAGTATTATATATATAGTGTTATGCTGTTTGAAATTCTTTTAATTAATATTAATTTGCAGTTTTATATAACTGTATTTTATTTATTCATGAAGTAGGTACCTACTTAAATCTTCTATATATATAAAAATGAATGTATGTCAGTGTGTGTGTCTGTGTGTCCATGTTACCATGGTTACCAAGGTTGCCATGGTTACTAAGGTTACCAAGATTTCATATCAATCTATATATATAAAAATGAATGTATGTCAGTGTGTGTGTGTGTGTGTGTCCATATTACCATGGCAACCATATCTGTATATAAAAAACAGTAAGCTGATTGACTGCTATCAACGCACAGCTCAAACCATTGGACGGATCTGGCTGAAATTTGGCATACAGATAGCTATTATAATATAGACGTGCGTTAAGAAAGGATTTGCCAAAATTCGCATTTTAAATAGGTGCTGAAACAGGGACATTGAGATTCACGATAGAAATTGGAAATTTTATTTTTATTTATTTATAGTTGCCATTGGTTACAGTCTACATTAGAAATTAGCATTTATTTATTGGTTGCCATTGGTTATTCGGGCAGATCAGGTACAAGCTTGCATCAAATCGAATTATTGAACAATGCTTACCAGGGTGGCAGAGTTGCACTTACCGCAGAAAATTACACCCAAAAGGAGTTCAACAATCATAATTTTTTTAAGAGTTGCGATTTTTACGAGCAACCAAATTTATTATATTAATCCACAGTATTACATCAAAATAAACTTGGTATAATTTTGATACTTTAGAGTATAGTTATAAAAAACAACTTATATGATGAAATATAAGCAAGGTTTAAGTGACATAAATTCAAATGTATCTTTGCGGAGAGATGATCAAGCAATTACTAAACATTTTTTTTGAAAAACACATTGTAAAACAAATATTTTTTCTAAGTTCAAAATCTAAAAGGTTAATGAGGATTCATATTTTCCGTGGGTAGACCCATTAGGGGGGAGCAATTTTTTTTCACAGGGGCTTAGGGGGTGCCAATTTTTTTTTGCACCGGGGCGCAAAATGTCTAAATGCGGCATTGAGTATATGATTGACTATCCTAAATATATTTATTTTAATTTTAATAAGTGTGAAGTTAAATCATATTTTTTTAGGAACTGTTAGGAAGTCGAATACTTCATTTTGATAATGAGTCTGGGAACTAAATTTATTCACTTAGTGGTGAATCGCTTTTTGTAAAGTTTGTGTAATATACATAATAATATGTGTGTAACTGTAAAAAAATATTTATTAACTATTGGAAAAAAAAAACATATAAACCGAAAAAATAATAGATACGAGGTATTCTTATTAAAAGGAGAAAGGCGAGGAAAAAATAAACCTAAGTATTTATAATTCAATTTAGATCTACAACACATCCTATCTGCCAACTTTCCGGAATTTTTATTTTTTATTTATATTTTAGAATCTAAAATTTAGATTATTGAATAATGAATACTATGAAAAAATGTGGTTCAACAATGTTATTTAAATCAATATTCAACCACATTCGATATTATGTTGGAAATAAACTAATTTCAGGATTACAATAATACTATATGGATGTCTGGACTAATGTAGATGGCCATTACGTCATTATTGGAAATATATGGAAGTACTTAAATAATTTAATAAAATAATACTCTATTTTAATACTGAAATCTTAGAAAATCCCTATAGTTCAACTATTGCCAAATTTACTTATGATAATTAAAACACGTCAGTGTTCTCCTTTTTTTGTATCTGGTGTGGTTTTAACTTTTAAGTAAATATGGTAAATGCAGTCAATACAGAAAAAGGTTTAAAAAATATTTAGTACGCGTAACATGCTTAGCAAATGGAATGGAAGAAATTATACCATATTTTTAAGACCAAATCCACTTAAAATATCGAAAGTATTTTTAATTATTTTAGACTGAGTGGAGTAATGAATTATGTACCTTTTGGATTTTTTATAATTGAGTGTCTTATTTTAATTTTTGTGTCATATCTCAAAGCATTAAAATGTTTCAATCTTCTACTTCGAGAGAGGTTTCTGCTAAAAATTGGATCTAATTGTAACTTAAGGGGAGAGGGAATTATGGAAAAATACAAAGCATACATTTTTGACAAAATAATTTTGTTATTTTATTGTTATACCTACTAAAACGAATACCTAATCGTAGATGCTTGAAACGTTAAACAAATATTTATATTAGAATTTTGTATACATAATATAGTTTCCAAAATATTTTGTCTCTTTTTGAGCTATTTATAGACATTTTAAATTGTAGACTCTTTTTCTATTAATGTTGATAAAAAGTCATGTTTTCGGTCAAAATCTTTGGTAATTTATAAATATTCCACATAAGTTGTGCTTATAGTGATTTAAAAATATCGAAAACACATAGATACAACTCAATTAAAATCATCACATTTTTCAAAATTATTTTTTTTTTTAAATGTATTACATTTTCAACTGTAATTACTAGGGCCCGTTACCATAATCGACGCTAAAGAAAAAGAAAAAGCTAATTTTGATAGTTTAAAAAATTGTGATAATAACTACCTACATAAGTAAGTAAGTAAGAAGGTTCTTCATAAGTTGATTTACAGTAAATAAATATTTCAAAAACACGAAACATGCACAATTTTTTTTAAACACATTTCGAGTTTAAACGTTGACAAATTGAAATATTTAAACAAAAAATTAAGATTTTAGTTAGTTTGTTGTAATTTTTTGAAACATTTTTTAACATCAAACTATTTGACATTATCTACATATATTTTTATTAACTTAAAAAGTTAATATCAGGTAAAATAAATATAGAACATCCTTAGAAATATAAAATGATAGTCCGTCACCGCTGAGTGATTTTTCGTATTATCCATATACCTAGCATTAATAGATTTATAATATATAATTTAATTCAAATTCAACACAATACACATTTATTACAGTAATCTATACTTTATGTAACACGGCTACATTCAGCACCAACAATACAGGAAAGTGATTTCCTTGGAAAAAAAATTTGTATTGTTATATTTTAGGTATTTGTAGGCTGTCTCTACATATCATATTATACACACAAACATGAAATTAAAATGTAATAAAAACTATTTTATTAACCATATAAAATAAAATGTGAACGTATTTTATGAATATTTGAAACAATTAACATAAGTTTAAACCAGAATTATATTTGTTCTATACGTTTAAATGACTTAATTGTACATCTTTATCATATAATAGTTATTCGTTTTGAATTTAACAGAAACCCTTTTAATTAAAAATAAGTTATAAATAAAATTAACTTAATTAAATAATTGTTGTTGTAGAATTAATAATTAAATGGGCGTTTATTACCTATACATACGTAACATAATATTTAAACGCTAATTAATATAATAATAAATAAAGAAAATATAATATTTTAGTATTTTGTTACAAAATATATTACATCTTTCTCTAAACGAGAAATATAATTATTATTTTTACGATGGTTAAGTTTTTTTAGCTTAATATATTATTTTAGATGTGTTATCGCTTTTCCCGTTTCTGTTTCTTGGGAAGAGAAGCTACTAAATCGGCACGTAACTATATTATAAAAATTAATAAGGAAAGAAGTTGGTTTTTAAATTTTCCACCGTTAATAAATTATGGTCTATAAACATTCAGAAAATCAATGAAGAAATTAAGTATAGCCTTTCATAATTTTAAGATAAATTGGGACTTTTTGGGTTAACTAAGCACTATTAAGATTAAGTTTTTTTTTTATATGATTTAATTTATACTTTATATACGTAATTCATAGCCCAAAGATTTAAACTATGATAAAACATTAAAACCTATACGACTCCTCCACCGAAGAGGGAAGTAACTAATTTTTTTTTTTCATTTCAGTGTTACTGTTTACTGGATTTCCAAAAAATAGTAACACCAAATTGACTCTTAATTAACTTAACTCTTCATTGAGGGAGTCGAAGTATTTATTGGCATTTATTACTACTTCAAATTTTAATTAAAACTGGAGGAATGCATGGAAGACCTAAGTCACATTGACCAAATCGATGTTGGTAATTAATTCGAAATAAATAATATTAGACGTAGCAGTTCTTTAGAACTCATTTCGTTAAAACAAAATGTGCCTTTTTACCAAAAATAAAATTTCCGTCCACATTATCCATTAATAATTAATATATTTTATATGGGTAATATACTAATAAGTATAATGTTTTTTTTTTTACAAATATGGTTACCAGCTATTTGGGTGATTCAGAAAATCCATTTAGAAATTTTTCTATGCAAAATTCGTAGGTACATACAATCTTAATCAGAAAAATTAACTTTATGTTAGGTATAATATTATTTTTATTTTACATATTATTAACTGTAGACCA